CCCCCAAGAAGAGAAGCAAAGCTACAGAATGACATCGTTTTCTTTTTATGCTCTGTGAAAAACCTCGCACGTGTTTACCTTTAAGAAAAAGACCGTGATTACATCATAGAGAATTATCGCCCAGACTGCAACACGGTATAATTGTTACCGTGACATAAGTCCTTTTTATCAATTTTTGTGACAGAAATGTGGCCCTTTTTCCGAAAAAGATAAGAGTAAATAGCATAAAAAATAGTTGGGCTGTTATCTTAGGTGAAAAACTACACAGCAGAAGCTTGCGGTGTTGCGTGACTTTGTTTACTCGCACAACATTTTTCAAGATATGCAAGATATTTCAAAAGAAATATTATCGCAGTTGCAGAAAACGTAGCTATTCAACTAAGAATAATGTCGATAATAAACACCTAGTCAACAAAAATGGTGAAATATACAGCGGCCCTTATCTATAGTTAGGTGTAGGTAGTGCTGTTGAAATAGCGAGTCAACAATAACAAAGTCTTCTGCAATTCAAATTAACAGAAAATTTCGTATCTACACATCAATTTACAGCCCTCTTCAGCAATGTCTATGGATTTTTTATTGTATAATTTCATATCATTTCCATATCAAATAATTGTTTTAACCATCTTTGACTATCTTGTTTACTTCGTAGCTCTCAAGTACGATTTCTAGAGCTGATTTATAACATGCACATTCATGACCTTGGCCACATTGCGTCGTAAACTCTTATATTTTGTCGGCACTTTTCTGAACTACCCACATTTTTTATTTTAATATTATTTTAGTATAAGGACCAAACTTTGTGCCAGCATGCATTTTGACACGATTTCTCACATACCAAGACGCGTTTTGAAGGCTTGAAGTTGCTCGAATTTTCGCTTTTTGCAAAAAGTGATTGAGAGTACTTTGTTAAAAAATCTTGTAATTCTTAAAATTAAACCAAAGCTCCTAAAAATGCCATAAATAAAAATGGAATGAATTATATTTTCAAGTAAAAACATCTCCGATTTCTTACGAAACATCCTCCTTTAGTACTAGCACACTAAAGTTGCTCAATTTTACTGTATTTTTTGCATAATTAACTAGGTAAAAACCCGAATTTTCGTTTTTCCCCATTTTCTCGGAAACATTTGATTTTTCAGACTTTGAAATATTTTTTTCTAATATATCTCCCTAAAAGGGTTTTCCAGGAAAATCATCAGAATTTTCGATTTTTCAGCTTAGCCAGCGATTCTCGATATTTACAGTCATGGGCTCTTAATTAATGACAAGTCGCAGTTTTAAGTGATGTAAGTAGCGTTAATAAAACTGAGTGTGACTGTTTTGCTATAAAACAGGACCCTTTCATAAGAAATCCCTCGACTGAGTGCTTGAATAATTCTGGCATACATAGTTAGAAATGAGTGTTTTTTGCGGCCGTGTTTTTGCATTCCCTCTTTTTTAGCCAAAGCCGTCGCGCCATTCAATAGGAATCGGAGAAGAATCCGCCGGTGCTTCTTGAAATCACTTCTCAGTTCCCAGATTGCATGTAGCGACATGAAATTAATTTTGCTGATTTCTATTGAATCGCGAGACGGAATTCGCCGAGAAAAGGGTGCCGAGGTCCACGTGAATGCAGCCTAGTGAACATTTTTTCCGTTTTAGTGAGCGTGGCCTTCATTGTCTTCTTGGTTGTTTTGGCCGTCATCTTGTTTTCCGTGACGTTTGCTATTATTATCTATTGCTTATACAAAAGAAGGAAGTGTAGAAAAGATCCCAGGGGTAAGTATAGGGTTGATGTTTATGTCTATTTTCACTGTGGCAAGGTATGAATGAGGGGCTTCAGCACATTCATGTTATTTAAGATGAAATTATATCAAAGTCGACATACTTAACTGAGATGAAAAGTACACGTTACAAGCATTTAAAGTTCTGCAAGGAATGCAAGTACTCCGAATGTATGTATACACTCACAATTGTTATTTTGTCCAGTCTGGAAGATCATTTTTACAGGGTTAATACAGAGGCAGGAATTGTTGTAAAATGTGTAATCTCCAATGCTGGTCTTCATTTCATCATCAAATCTTTTTAAATGATATTAAGGAAATCTGAAAGAATTACCATGAATCCTTTTGGTACACTTTATTAGCCCTTTCCACGCCCCTAAATTTTCTGCAGGAGTAGTGCTTAAGCTCTTTTAGTTTTCATAGGAGAATTGCGGGTCGCAAATTAAATTATAAATAGATAATGAACAACGGGACAGTACCGAAGCGAGTGTTGCAAAGAATGGTTGCTTTAATACTAATGTTCATGCTGAGCAAGCGTATAATTATTGTAGATATATATTTTGCCAGCTAACCTTGATTTGCTTTTTTCCCACATGTTAATTTAAACAACAAGTTCACGGTACCCAATCTGAAGAGAGACCATTGTAAGTTTTAAACAGGTGTCTATTCTTTTGTTCTCATTGTTGATATCGACATTGCTTTGTGAACTGAGGTCGTCGCATCATTGCGTATCATACAATTCTCAAAGTGAGTGAGGCAAATAACTAGTTTACAAATGGATGAAATTACAATTTTTGTACTGAAAATTAATGTTTCTGAATTTTTTTTCTAGTTTAAGTAATTTGTAGTAGCTTACCGCAGTCAACATCAATTCGAAATTGAATTGGCTCCAGAAAAGATTGTTGGAGATCTTCCGGTTGTCTTCAAAATTCAGTCCCTTGTTTGTTTTTTAAGTTGTAGAAAAAGGCTAGAAATCATCGGTTTATAGTCAAGAATCTTTCTTTTGAGTACGTTTTCCTTGTTGATGTCTAAACTGTTAGGTATATTTACTTCTGTGACGTTTTAAGTTTGTGAACAGGTAATTATTTTGTTATGCAGTAGCCACTCATTCCAAGTGTGTGCTCGAATTGTTGACCAGGCGACGTATATCAAAGTGGCTGTTCAGCAAGACGTTTGTTTATTGATTGAATACCATTGTTCTTTTGGTGTTTTACTTATATCTTGGGCTTAGAAACTATACAGAATCGTTTGCAAATTTTGCAGTTCGCCATCAAATAAGAATGATTATTCTCAAGTCAATAGCGGATATGCAGAGACGGGTCCACGGTCCACAGAAAGGGCCAACTTAGACCACAACCAGGAAGAGGAAGGTGCTGCTGCGATACCAGATTATGCTGTCGTGGATAAGTCCAAGAAGAAAGGGAAAAAGAAGGATAAGAGAGCCGCAGAAATGAAGCCGACTGAAGATCAGTACGCTATAGTGGACAAGTCAAAGAAGAAGACGAAGCTGAAGAACGAACCAGATGCCACTTACGCTGAAGTGGACTGTCAAAAGAATTCAAAAAAGGTATGCCAACCACAGATTGTTTATCAATTTATTTGCGTAGTTAGTTAAGTATTTCTTTTATTTGTTTTATTTTGCCAGATTACAGGCAATCCTATAGTTTTTCTTCTATTGACACTAACTTCTAACCTTTCCCTGTTGAAAACGACATGACTTGAAACTCCCCCAGTTTCTTCCTATATACTATTTAGTTTTCTCCTTAATGGCTATTTACTGCCCGATATGTGAACAATCTAGATTTTGTGAAGGTGTAGTCTGATCGTCCGGGTGAGTGTAGTCCTGAGAAGGACTCTTGTCGGTGGCAGTGACTGACGTTTCGACAACCTGTGCGGAAGTCATCATCAGAGTCAAGTGAATGATTGTTGTCAGTAGAATGTTCTTATTCCAGTTCGTGTGAAATGATCGGTTGGTTTTGCCGTGATGTTATTGGCTGTAAGACTCAAGTGACGTAAGTCGGTCGTGATTGGTCTGTTTCGNGATGTGGTTATGCCTGGAAACACAATCGCACTGTACGCAGATGATTGTAAAACATCAAGACTGATAAACTGTACATCAGACCAACATGATTTTCAATCTGACCTGAATAATCTACACATCTGGAGTCAGCGAAATCTAATGGATTTTAATGTAAAGAAATGCAAATTGATGCGTATCACGAAAAAAAGTATGCCTTTTCGTTCTGACCTTAAGCTGAATGAGAGCTCTCTGGAAGAAACATCTGAATTCTGTGATCTTGGATTAGTTACTAGTAACAAGTTGTCCTGGAATGCTCATGTTGATAAGATATCAAGCAAGGCTAACAAGATTCTTGGCCTTATTAAAAGGACATGCAAGGGTCTGAAAGATGTTAACATGTTAAGAAGGTTGTACTGTGCTTTGGTAAGGTCCCAATTGGAATACTGTACTATTGTCTGGTCACCCTTCACGGCTAGAAACATTAATAAATTGGAAAGGATTCAGCGAAGAGCCACCAAGTTTATTCTAAAAACTGATGATGATTACAACACTCGTAAAGAAAAACTGAACCTGTTATCTCTAGAGGACAGACGCTTCTTTTTTGACGTACTATTTTTTTATAGAGTTCTTAATGGGTATATTAATATAGATATATCCTCTTATATCCAATTTTATTCACATTCGGAAAGATACTCGTTGAGGGGTAAGGACGAACTTAAATTAAAAAAGAACTACGCGAGGACTGATACTTTTAGGTTTTGCTATTTTAATAGGATTGTCCACATGTGGAATGGGCTGCCACTATCGGTCCGTCAGGCTCCAAGTGTTTCTTGTTTTAAAAGGGGTGTAAGGGATTATTTGACTGCAAGATTTGATTGATTTTAGTTTGGATTTGTTTTTTTGTTAAAGGTGGTCTTGCGTGCATGGGGATTTATCTCTTTTGCGGACCATCCTTATGGCACCTTTCTTTTCACTCTTTTGTATTATTATCTATTAATGTAAGTAAGTAAGTAAGTAAGTAAGTTATATGTGTCATTAAATTGTAATAAATAAAAAAATAAATAAAAGGTATTTGTTCTCGTCGGATAAGCTGTCTGTCGAGTCACATACTAGTTGTGCGCGTCGTGTTAGAGTTCTGATAGTTGTGGCTTTGTGTGATGTAGGGTTGTAGGATGACTCGTCTAGTAATCTGTCGGTGTGTGTCGGTTTCCTGTAAACTGTCGTTCATAATGAGTAGATTTTCTGTGATAGACTATGTTTCTCAAATCATAAACACCGATTTCATCTTGAAGTACCATCATCAGTCATTCCGCACCCACGTTTGCTTCCTACCCAGTCAGGTCGGATTCGCACCCACTTAGTTGAGTCGTTTCGTGTCCATGTTAATATAGGATGTTTCCACTCCAAGTATGGTTAAAGTAAGAACATAGAGTGAACGAATCAACAGGAATAAACGAATTTATGGCTGTTGATAACAAAGGGAGAATCACACTGTTATTGTTTAGAAAGTCGCAAGGTAGTCTAAAAATGCACAACGAATATATGAAATTCATATATCTGAACTGCGGTTATAGAAACGTATTTGCGCACGATCCTCGCAGTAAAAGCACTATTTTAGCAATAGTGAAAATCAGAACTGAAAAAATTCAGGCCTGTACGGCATTCGAACCACTGACTGCAATACTACTGCAGCGCACTACCAATTGAGCTAACAATTGATAATAGATATACTCAGCAGAATTTTGCGGGCATCTTACTTGTTTGAATCTACTAACTTGTTGTAAACAACAAACAACATCTGCTCAGGTGTTCCCTTCAGAGGTATTTCAAATAAATGTATATTGAGATGAGTACGAATCGACTAGCAGTTCTGTTGCAAACCAACTTGAACTAGGTATAAATCGTCTGAATTTGGGTACGAGACGACTGCGTACGTAACGAGTGGATACCTGTAGAAGGTAACGGACAACACTTATTTCGAGGATCTCAAAATTATCTTAAGTTCATTATTTTTAACCACAGAAGCCCAAGCCCGGTGACGTTCTTTATGCTGACTTGGGTGAATTCCATCAGATGAAGAAAATGCCTGCAGTATCCACCTCGCCCAAAGCATTGCCTCCGATCAAACGGCCGGAGGCTTATGCTGAAACACAGTACGCTGACATTACCCAGTTTCCGAAGGGAAACCCTGAAGACCCAGGCGCTGAGCTTCCTAAAGACAATACCACCCCAGCTGTCAAGAATACTGCCAACGGCAGCAAGGAGGAATCCTCAGCTAGGAACACAGGTGATGGTGCAGAGGCAGCTAACGAGACAGGATTTTAGTCTTAACTGAGGTTGTAAAACATTAGAGGAGCTGCAATTGTTTCACAAGAAAATGCTAATCGTAGCCTTAGTAATTAATTCTCATGTTTCATAGTTATTTTCTCGCAGGCATAAAAATGTGTTGTAATGTAGGATAAATTTTGCGTGATATGTTTTTATAACACCGTAAGAGTTAAGTATTATCAAGAAGCAAGTGCGCGTACGATTTGTTGCTTCGTAAAAACAAGCATTTCGTATTTTTTTCGTTTTTGTTTTTGTTTTTTCTTGTTTAGTCTCACAGTGTGGTTTTTGGCCTAGGCTAATCATTTACCTTTATAGTAATTTAGGATGTGAAGATGTGAACATCAATATATGTTTTGCATATAATCTGTTTCATAACATAGTTTGTACTTAGATGAATAGATAAATTTACCGATATACCGGAAAGGTAGCCTTTTTTCAAAAATAGCTCTCATCTTATACAACTTGCGGTTCAATTATAGGTATTTTCCTTAAAATTTTGCAAGTATAATCAATTTACTTCGTAGCGACCATAATGTTAAACAACGTATATATTTTTTTTTATTTTGGTAGGAAACACTTTTTAACATACGTAGTCGAAAATTGGAAGGTGAAGATGTGGTTATTACATGGCCCGTGCCAATATACATAGAATTTTTTGTAAGAAAATAGACGGTCTGGATAACGTCGATCACCCTAGGCAGCACATTTTTCTCAGCTATTTTAAGACCCTGAGTGTTGTTCCGGTCTGGGGCTTGAAGCCTCGACCTCCCGCACAGCATTGAAGCGCTCTCAGTACAACATGAGCTCGCCAGGCGGCGGGTAGGGTTTTGACACCAACCAAAGAAAACACACTTTAAAGTGCCACGAAATTTTTTTTTTTTTTACTTTTTCTAGGTGATAGCTGCGTTTAAAATTTGAAATAATCGACCTTAGCGCCTAGCGAGCTCTCCTTGACCGTTTTTTGCGCATTGAAATTAAGATTTGGCGGCCCAAAAAAGCCCACATTTGGCGCACGGCCAAAACGATCATGTTTTGACGTAGAAAGCTGTGAAGACACGACGGCAGTCATGGTAGAGAAGGGAGAAGCCAAGAATAGGGGACGAAGGAATTGCGTGGCCGGAGAATAATACACATACACCGGGTATTTCTATATATTACTTTGTAGAGGATGTATACCGAAAACAGAGTTAGTTCCTTAAGCGCTTGCTACATGATCTATCACTACTGCAATTGGTGCAGTTTGGTAATTTTCAATCAAATTTTGCAGAAATAAATGGACGCCATGAAAACTCAAAGTACAAATAATTGTTCACGTGAAGGTGGAATGTTTTCCTTTAATTCGCTGCGAATTTCAGCTAACTCCCCCCTTATTTCTTTCTTACTTTTAAAAATGGTCAGCAATTTTTTTTTCTCTATTTCATCTGCTCCAGCTTTTTGGTTGTTTCTTTGTTTGTTGTTTGTTTTTTTCTGCTTTTAGTTCCTTTTGGTAATTTTGGTAGTAGTTGAATTTTGCTTATTTTTCTAGCATACTCGTTTCGATAATTTTTTGAAGAGGAGGTTTAATTCAATTATTTCTGACACTTTTTACGCGATGTTGAACAAGTTTTGAAGATGCTTTTTTAAAATGCCAGTTTTTCACTATTCGCCATGTACCTGCTGTTGAGCAGTTTGTATATCGTGGCATCTACTTCGTTGGGCTGAAATGCGATCAGATTAAAGGAACACATACACACCAGCTTTTTAAGATCACGGCGCAGCGGTGAATTCATGTGTGTTGTGTTAATTACAAATAATTGTCGGACGTAAAACGTCAATGATAGCCATCGTTGATTTTTGTATAGAGAGAGTAAGTTGGTTTCCTGGGCAAAATGTTTGATTAATTAGTTCTAACATGGCACTTAGGATCAAAAGAGTGACAAATGCCTTTGGCGTGGTTCTTATTTTAGACATAGATAACTAGTCAAAAAGGATTGAGTTACTGGTTTTTTTACCCTGCAGTGCAGTGTATGATTATTTAACCTTATATTTAACATGTAATATAGTAATAACCATTGGCGGTAAGGGGACATGTGTGGCAGGCAGGTATGAAGTACCTTCACCTGATTAAGGACTAAAAGTCACTTGTTACTTTGCCAGTGTGCAAATACAGGTGTCGAGTAATCACCAGCTAATCAAACGCACGGATGACGCAGTCAACTGACTAATCAAAACAGAAGTACAGTCTACTTTGAACAAGTACCACAACCCTTGCATGAAAATCGACGAACGCTTCGTTTTGGTTTCATTGCAAGAACTCCTTGGTTGTTCTGCTGGTTAAAGCTGGCTGCCACACTGTCCAGTTTCATTTGACTCATTTTTTCCAGCATAATGCTTTTTCGTAGTCTGAATGATACAATGCTTATATTGATTCTTTTAAGAATCAATATAAAAATGACCGCACATATTAAATGTGCGGTCTGATTAACGAGTGTTGATTGTAATGCTTTAATCACGCGTTTTGGAGAAGTCGAAAGAGCTTAATTGTTTGGTATGTGCCTATCATGAGGACAGACACCTTCCGTAACTCTGTTTTGGTAATCAACAGTTACTGTTCATTAAACCTTCAGCGGTTTTCCAATGGCGAAAACTAGTTGACTTAATCCATCGGAAGTACTAATGTGAACACGCCTGCATATTGTGATGGAATAATTATACCTACAGGTTAACAATGAACAGCTTGAAGCATATTGGTTTTTCCAATCTTTCTATGCCGCTTGTACCACACATTTATTTTTTCTTTTGGTGACTCCTTGATACTTTTTACTATATCAACAGATGTAAACAACTGTAATGCTCATTAAACGCTGATCAATCTTACATGCGTCACTGGTAACTCTTAAAGCTCAAGATTTTAACGTCAAAATTAAAATTTTTAAGCACTTCTGATATGCATTGAAAGTTATGAGGCGATGCCTTTTCCCTTAACTTACAATGATAAAATGCTTATTGACTGTGTTAGGTCGGGCTCGGTCATGAGGCACGAACCTCACTACGCTGAAAGCATTCCTATCAAGCTTCTTACCTTAAGAATCAAGGCCTTCTCAGTGGATTCAGGATCAGTGGGCGTTTAGAAAACAGTACATACATCTCCAAGCCGTTATTTCATGCAAGAGCATTACAATACTTAACATTTAAACTCTTCGGAGAGTAATGAATTCAAACGACACTTACAGACATATATATCGCAACCGCAAAACTGTATAAGAAAATCTGAACAGGTCTGTCATGAAACGGATATTTACGTTTCCTTTTTTGCTTTTTCCTTCAACCTCGGGGTTTTTCGAAGGAGAAGGAGAGGGGGAGTGACGTCATCTGTCGATAGTCGGTATCGGATATCTTTTACCGGTCTTACTTTATTAATCAACTAAAGCCTTAGTCGCTTACTCGCAAAGCCTCTGGGTATAACGGTGATCCACCGTTTGAGGAGGATTACACTGGGTGGAAAAGATTTGAAGTATATAAAAGTGAACGAAAGACATTGTATGGACGTGATTGCATTACTGAGAACTAAAACACTCCATTGCTGCATCCGGGAACTGAGTGTGGTACTTTTCATATGAAATACGACGTCACATTTCCCGCCTTCTCAAACTGCTGAATGAACTTGGTTTGTCTGTTGTTTGGAATGATAGCTATCGCAAGATTTGTTGTAGAAAGGACGGGTAAGCAACGAAGATGATGTAAATGCATTTTCCAGGCAAAAGGAGAGCGAGAGCACCTAAAAGAAAACGCTGTTTTATCTAAAGATTTTCAAAAAGGAACATCTTACTCGTTTACTGCCCTTAATCATGAGATATTGCTTTTACCACTCGAACATAAAATTTATATCTTTTCGACACCGTGTATTGAAAAAATATTGCACAAAGATCCCCATATTAGGGTCGAACGTGATAGCGTAAAATCAAGGCTGTAAAAAGCCGTACGGCCCGGCGGGATACTAACTCAAAGAAGTAAGGAAGGAAAGGGAAGAAAAAAGAACGACAACGGCCACATGATAAAAATGCTCATTGACTGCGTTAGGTCGGGCGTGGTCATGACGCACCTCGTCAATCAGTAGCTGTTTAACAATAATAAAGGAAGAAAGGGAAGAAAAGGGAAGAAAAGGAAAGAACGATGGTCAAATGATGAAATGCTCATTGACTGTGTTAGGTGGGGCGTGGTCATGACGCACGAACCTCGCTACGCTAAAAGCATTCCTATCAAGCTTCTTACCTCAAGAACTAAGACCTCAGTGGATTCAGGATAAGTAGCCGTTCAGCAAATAACGCAGACATCTCGAAGCTGTTATTTCATACAAGGCCGGTACAATGCTTGGCATTTATTTTCTTCAGCAGGCAATGATTTAAAACGAAACTTCAAGAGATGATACAGAAATCCTTACAAGCAATCTGGTTGTACGCCGCGGCTTCCGTGTGTCACCCAAACGGTCAATTTGGGGGTCTCGTTGTCTTCAAATCTATCCTGGAACACCCATACGCAGAAAGTTGTAAATAAAGCCAATAAGATTGTGGGTTTCCTTAAAGGGAATGTTGGTGCAGGGAACAAAGAAGTCTTTTCTCGTCTGTACAAGACCTTGGTTATACCCATTCTGGAATATGCTATCCCCCTCTGGTCACCATATTTACAGAAGAACATCGATGCTCTTGAACGAGTACAACGTAGGGCCTCGAAACACACTCTCCTGATGTCATCTAGGGACTCGCCGTACGAAGAAAGACTAGCAATGTTTAAGTGGTCCAGTCTTCAATCAAGGAGGTCTTATCTATCTTTGCTAGAGTGCTACAAGACTATTCGTGGTCTTAATGGCCTCAACTGTAATGATGATTATTTTGAATTTAATTATTATGGTGAAACAAGATTAAACCATTTATTTCAATTACTGACAGCCATTAGCAAGAGTAAATTGTTTTTTACACTCAATATTTGTTAGAATTATAAAAAAGTGGAATGCTCTTCCTAAAGAGATAGTGCACAAACAGGATTTCAACATTTTTCGTCACGGTAGTAAACTTCAATTGCAAAATATCGGGGTTTTTTTATTTTTTATTTATCCATTTCTTGATGATTTTTACATTTTGCATTGTAATATATATTTTTTATATTTTGTGTAGGAGCGTCCTCGATAGGGATAACCTCTGACGTTTCCTTTTCGGTATGCTCACATAACAAATTGATCGATTAATTGATGATATATCGCAACCGCATAACCGTCTGTCATGAAACGAACATTTCCGTTTCTCTTTTCCTTTTTCTTCAAGGTCGCCGTTTGATTATCTCTTTTCAGTAGCTTTCCCAGTTCTTATACCGAATCCCACCAATAAATTCCAAAGCATCGCCTATTATTCATAACTACCGTCCAGAATCTCACCATCCGTCCCCCACATTCCTAAATGAACTAGTCATAAAAATTTCCGAACCTCGAGTTTGCAATCAAACAAGGCTCGGATCCCAAAAAAGCTATCAAGACCCTCACAGATGGCGGATATGGGCTTCAGTTGGGAATAAAGGGAATGAAATATACGATTGCTGAAAAAACATACATACCAATGCTACGAGAAGTTAACTCGGCATGCAGTTGATTATCTACATATTTTCCAATTGTTCATTTTCTGTCCTCTATTATTAATTAAATTTTTCTTGATCAATTTTCATAGGTGTTATGTTTTTCTATTTGTGTTCTACAGCTGGCATGAATGAAGAAGTAATGCGCGACATTGCTTTGTACTGAGTTCAAAATGAACGCTTGGATTGCCAGTACCAGGTTACTCAAGGGGCATGTTTCGCGCGACTACGATCTTTATTGTTGATGTAGGTGGTGCAGATCCAAAAGAGCTTCGAAAATTCCTTTAAATTTGTCTGTTTGCAAACCTATTTTCTTTCCGGGATGGGTCTAGGTGATTAATCTGTGTGGGAATGTGAAAATTATCGTAGACATCTCGCAAGATAAACAATTTGAACGAAAACCTTTTGTTTCCAATTCGTAGGTTAGTGCAGAAGTCCGTAAAAGTTATTACTTCTTCAAACCGATGAAGGTAGACCTTTTGGGGCTCAAATGAAAACTACATTTTCTACGAATATGGACAAGCGCTACTGAGGCACCCCGGGTAAATGTTAATGCAGATGGCGATGTTGATGGCACTTGGAGTAGATAATTTTGAGAATTGATCTCTTGAAAGCAATTGCATTTGGTCTTATTGTACTCGACTGAGAGTAGGGTGTGTCGGCCTAAATATAAAGAGGACCAAAAGAAGAGGCGAGAGTGAAATTTTTTCTTCTTCCCCTGGACTCTTCATAACTGCATGTTGTTACTTGGAGTAAGCAGCGATTGCAAGTGATTGCAAATACAGGTGTCAAGCAATCACTAACTAATCAAACGCATGTATGATACAGTCAACCAATCAAAACGTAGGTTCAGTCTTCTTTAAACAATTAGCACAAGTCCCCCATGAAAATTCAGGAACGCCTCGTTTTGGTTTAAATACGAAAACTGCTTGGTTGTTCTTCTGGTTAAAGCTGATTGCCACACTGTTCTGATTTGTTGTCATATTGTTTTTCTTTTCCAGCATAATGTTTTTTTCGTAGTCTGAATGAGACAATACTTATTAATTGTTTATGAAAACCACACTTTCCATATTAACAGTGTGGTCTAATTGACGAGTGTTGATTTTCATACTATAATCACGCTTTTTTGAGAAGTCCAAAAATGCTTAAATGTGTGGTTTGTGCCTACAGGACAAGCTCCGTCCATGACACCGTTTTGGAAATGAACAGTTACCGTTTATAAACCTTCAGCGATTTTCCAATGGCGAAAACCAGTAGACTTAATCCATTGGAAGTACTGAAGTGAACACACCTGCAGATTGTTATAGATTACTTATATCTACAGGTAAACAATAGTGTTTGATGCAGATTGGTTTTTCCAATCTTTCCAGTTTGCCGCTTGCACCACATATGTAACCAACTGTAATGCTCATTAAACGCTGATAGATCTTATATGCGTCTTTGTTTGAAATTCTAAAAGCTCAAGTTTTTAACGTCAAAGTTGAAATTTCTAAGCACCTTCATGATAGTCATTGAAAGGAATGGGGCTGTGCCTTTTGCCTTTCTTAACAATGATAAAATGTTCATTGACTGAGTAAGGTCGGGCTTGGTCGTGACGCACGAACCTCACTACGCTAAAAACATTTCTATCAAACTTCTTACCTTAATTTAAGAATCAAGACCTCAGAGGATTCAGGATCAGTAGCCGCCTAGAAAATAGTACACACATCTCCAACTTGTTTTTTCATACAAGTGTGGAACAATGCTTGACATTTATTCTCTTCAGCAAGCAATGTTTTAGAACGAAACTTCACGAGATCATATATCGCAACCGCATAACCATATAAGAAAAATCTGAGCAGGTCTGTCATGAAACGGATATTTCTGTTTCTTTTTTCTTTTCCCTTTCACCCTTTGGGTTTTCGAAGGAGAAGGAGAGGGGGATGTGACGTTCTCTGTCATTTACGGTATAGTATAATCACTATCGGAAATGTTTATCCGGTTTTCCTTCATTAATCAACAAAAGCCTTTGTCGTCTACTCGCAAAGCCCATGGGTATACTCTGCTAAGAGTGATCCGCCGTTTGTGGAGAATTACATTGGGCGGAAAAGACTCGAAGTGTAAAAACGTGAACGAAAAATATTATATGACCAGGATTGCATCACCGACAACTAAAACACTGGTTTACTGATTCCGGAAACCCAGTGGCATATTTTTCATATGAACATGACGTCATATTTCCCGCCTTTTCAATTTTTGTTGCATGAGCTTGGTTT